GCCTGGGGTTAGGTCGGGGCTAGGCTTGGGACTGGGGTCGGGATTAGGGGTGGGGGTCAGGTTTAAGGCTGCGATTTGGGTTGGGGTGAGGGCGGGATTAGGGCTGAGAAGGGAGAACGGGATTGGGGCTGGGAGCGGGGCTGGGATGGTGGTTAGAGCCAGGACTGGGATTGGGGTTAAGGCTAAATATGGGACCGGGGTTAGGGCCGGGGTTGGGATCGGGGTTAGGGCTAGGCTCGAGCCTGGGATCGGGATGAGATTAAATACGGGACCGTGAGCACGTCTAAAGCTGGGCTGCGATCGAGATTAGGGTCAGGTTCGGTTTCGGGACTAGGGGTGCGCGCGCCGGGGACAGGCAGTTTAGCTGCTAAAAAACGGGGGAGATTTTCACTGCGGGAGGTCGCTGGTATCGTCTCACCCCTCTTCGAGCATCGCAAAACCTGGGGGCGAGCCAGGCGCTCCCAGCTCCGGCTGCTCCCAGCTCCGAGCGATCCGAGGCTGCCCGGTATCGCAGAGAAGGAAGCAAGAAACCTGCAGGGAGAAGAGGTAAAACGAGTCTGTGAGCCCTTGGGAACCCCTGCTGAGCGAGTTTAGCCGTCCCCCGCGCGTTTATTTTCCTTGGCTTTGCCCTACGTACCCCTTGAGCCACGAAAGGCGGCCTCGGAGGTTTATCCCGAGGTCATCGAGGTGCTTGGTAAAGCCTGGGGAGGTTTTTATACCTCCCTGAGCATCAAATAAATACCGAGGACCGCCAGCCGCCGTCCCCGTGACGTGCCCCAGCGGAGCCGGCTCCACACTCCGCCGCTTGTGAGAGCTGCGGGAGGCGGCCTGGCCGCGAGCTAAAATGACCTCATGGCGTTTATTTGAGTTTTCAACTCGTTTGGGTCGGCCGCAGTCACTCCCCGATTTTAAAAGTAATTTTTTAGGCTAATAATAGTAGCTCCTTGCTAAGACAAGGGCTGGAGGGGTCGCGTAGCTGCAAAAAAGGGTGAAAACGTGCCGAAATCAGCCCTGGGAAAAGGGTTCGATGAACTTTAGGGCGTTTTGGGGGAATTTCAGCCTGTGAAGTTGGTCTGGGGGGCTGGATGGGGCGCACAGGTCCAGCCCGGTGCGACGCTGAAAAAGAGGTGCTGAAATA